GCCACATCAAACTGCTTAAAAAAATTTTAACATGTTTCTCCAGTGTGAACTTATGTACGTTATTTCAAAGTTTTTTGGAAAAAATACTTGTTAAGTTTTTCTTAGTGCTTATATAGATTACTAGAATACTTTTTAAGTGTATTTCAAATGAACTGATTGGTAAAATTGTTTAAGACAAATTTAGAGCTTTTCTACAATGTCTATGCTTTACCCATATTTGTAAAAGATTTGACTACTATTATGTCAAAAACTTTTATGTTAATTTTTGTATGTATCCCTTTCTTTCTATAATATATTCTAATTTGTAAAGTTAAAAAATATAGTCCCTAAGTAATGTGTCTACTATCTTCAATTATTTTCAATTGATTTTTATTATTTTATTGTGTATTTTATATAATTTATTATCTTGCTCTTTTCTTCATTTATTTTTTTGTTATTGTGTTCTTTAATAATCAATCCATTATAAATAAAAGTGAACATTATAACTTTTGCATATCAAAACTTCTTTAAGATCTTTTTCCATTCGGTTAAACTTCAAAATTTCTATTTTAAAAAAATTTTCTTGTAATACTCTTCATACTTCCGATATTATATATATATATATATATATATATATATATATATATATATATATATATATATATATATATATTAATAGTAATAGTAATTTTAATAGCCGATAATATCCAAGAACTAAATGATATGTTACAACAATTAAATGCAGTTTCAGGAGCGGTAGACTTAAAAATGAACTACAGCAAAAAAAAACACTGAGCCGAGACCAGACAAATATAACAATACAAAATCATACCATAGAAAATGTTGAACATTATGTATATTTAGGTCATGTTATCAAACTAGGAAAACCAAATCAAGATGCTGAAATTAAAAGAAGAACACAACTGGCAAGTGGCGCTTTCGGCAAACTAGCATATATCTTGAAAACCACCTCCATTCCTGTAAACTTAAAGAAAAATGTGTATAACACATGCATATTACCAGTTTGTACCTACGGCTTGGAGACAGTAGCACTTACTAAAAAATCTGCTAAAAAATTATAAACAACGCAAAGAGCAATGCAATGAATCATGCTTGGAATATCACTAAGAGACAAGATTAGAAACACCGAGATAAGACGTAGAACAAAGATTAGGGATATTGTGGAAGAAATTTCAAAAATGAAATGGCGCTGGGCAGGACACATAGCCCGATATAATGACAACAGGTGGACACAGAGAATTCTAGAATGGAGACCAAGGACAACAACAAGAAGGATAGGAAGACCTCAAATAAGATGGGTAGATGACATAAGAGCAGTGGCAGGCAAACAGTGGATTAGATTGGCGCAAGATAGAGAGAGATGGAAGCAATTGGGAGAGACCTACATTCAGGAGTGGATGGAAAATGGTTGACAAAGAAGATGCTTGGCTGGGGATATCGTGTTTGATAAATGTTTGAATAAATGTTACTTAATTTGACAATATCTGATTTTCAATTTATACATTTCTTATTTTTCTGTATATGTGTCATTTCTAAAAATAACCGCTTCTGTTCATTTTTCTGCCTCTCTAGAATTGAAGCTTGTGAAAAATTAGATGTGTGATTGATGGAGTGGTCGGTAAGAAGAATAAGTTAGTAAAAATTTAATATATGATTACAGATATATTAATTTTTTTTTAATTCAATATATGTGTAATGGTTCGTTTTATAAAGTACAACATAAACTATAATCTCGCGACTAGTAAGTAAAGGCCGTATGACACTATGCATTTTCTTGTATCATTTCTTATATCGTTTCTGATTTAACAAAAAAAATGGATAGTGTCATACAAGCGTATAGTTCTTATATCAGAAACGATATAAAAATTTGTGTCTACTACAGTTTCTTGTACAAGAAATGCGCCAATTTGTGCGCAAAAACGTAAAACTTCTGTCATAATGGCGGCTGAAAATGCGATCATATGATTTGATGACTTGATGATTTTATTTATTTTTTTTTTATTGATATTTGTACTTAATATGGACGACGATTTCCTGATAGTAGCTGTAGCTACAACGTGTTTGACAATGCTAGCGGCACAGATGTTGACTAAAAAACAAAAGAAATCAAAAAGTTTATGGAGTAGACAAGGGATATCTATAAGTGATTTTCGGAGCAATAATATATTATACTACATGCACGAGAAGATATACACAAAAGCACATGGAAATCATCAAATGGGATTACAGTAAATATAATAGATCCTGTTATTGTGAACTGAAGATACCAATCAGATATAAGTAGCCAAATTGAGAAACAATCAAACACAGGGATTGGATCAAATATCTTCGGAACTACTAGGAGGAGATGTATTACTAAAAACAATAAATAATCGCTCTAAAAATTTGTAATGAGTTTAAAGATTATTTTATGTCTCCAAATAAGAGAGTAGAATTTCAAGAGCATGCCATTCAAACACATAATTTGTACAAAAAAAAAAACAAATAAATTATTACAACCAAATTATTTATTATTTCTGTCTTCCATTACAGCCTGTTGAATAGCTTTAAAAATTGTGGTTTCCAATTTAGTTTTAATATTGGGAGATTTTATTTGTTTCATTTTTGCACCACAGTATTTTAAAAAATAATCAGTAGCATCTGTCTTGTTGTCCTCAGGTATTGCAGTTCTATTTTTATATGTGTTGATCAGACCTGTTACAGCATCTCTCATGCCAACAAAAGCATCCTTTTCAGTATCGCGACGTTTTCTTTTCTGTGGGCGAGATAGAAACTGTGGTGTGACTGAACAACTCACATTGGGACCTAATGAAATAGTTTCAATCTCCTGGGAATTGGCCTAAAAGGAATTATTTATTATTTAAACAAGTATCCTAGATTGTATCAGCATTTTGACAAAAGTCCAAATTAATATTTTAAGCAAAATAAGTTTTATATTTATTTATTTATTAACTGGGTTTTCTCATTATATAGAAAATATTATAAGAGTACATATATAATAAAAAACAATGTCAAATATAAATATAAAAAAAATTACAATTAAGGATAATAGTATAATGGACTTAATTAACATTTTTATTAACACTAAAAAAGTTACTTAACTTACATCTTGTAGGAGTAATAGTTGTGAATCGGAAGTTTCTTCATTTTCCTCTATAATTTCCACATTTTCATTTAAATTCAATATTTCGTGGATCGCACCTGAAAAAGAAGGAGCCATTTATTTCTTTAAAAAATCTACTGACTCCCTAGCCTCAATTCTAGATCCTTGAATGTACTTATCCATATCATTATAGTAATAGAGATTTGATATATAAATCTGTAATTGATAATATATCTTTATTAATTTTTTTTACTTTTACCACAGTATAGGACATATCAGAAATATGAAAGCTTACTTGCCTTATAATATAAAATACTTCCATCGCCAGTACCTGCATCACTTTTAAGGTACTTTTTTGACTTCAGGTAAATATGTCGCATGAATTTAAAAAAAAATCACTAAAAATTTAGGTTAAGTACTACCTACCTACCTACAGTACTACCAATGTAACGTGACACAAGGTGGCAAATAAAATTTCGACCAATCATGTGCCGAATCACTTACAATTTTCTGTAAAAGAACTTGCATACTGTCATACAGAGCACAAATGTATGTGCAAGAAATGATAAAAGAAAACATAAATAACTTTCTATATCAGACACGAAATAAATGATACAAGAAAATGGCTTAATTTGAAACTATATTTATTTCATCAGTTCAATTTTCGTTGACTTTATTTTCAACTTCATCAGGGAACTTACTAAGAAATTAACTAGCAATTAGATACAAACATAACATTCACATTTTTTTAACTTACGAAAGGTTGTTTTATTTTATACAGCAAATTATGTCGAGCGACATATATTCTATGATGAACAAGGAGGTCTTTTTATGTATAAAAAGACATTTCGTAAGTTAAAAAATTGTGAATATTATGTTTGTATGTAATTGTTTTAAGTCAGTTTTAATGGTCTAAGGTTTTAAGCCTTTGACTGCAGTTCCGATATTCTAACACGATTCCTTAGAGTAACCATAAGCCAACAAAAATATGTCATATGAGTGATTTTTAATATGAAATTGACAACTATTTAATTAAATTAAATTTTTGAAGATCTAAAAATTTGATTTAAAAAGATTTAGATGAATCTAACTAAAAATAACAACTTAACCATATATAACCTAAAACTGCTAACAAACCAGTAATTTTTTGTTAAAAGAGTAAAATGTTAAAATATTTAATTAAAAATATCATTTTTTATAATGGCAACATAATTTCTTGTTGTTTTATGGTGTCTAACGGCGGTGGCTTTTACATACAAGATATTTTTTAAATGGAAATTATTTGAAAAAAGAAGGTTGAGAACCCATTAAGTCATTGTAAAATAATCAAACAGAATTCATTGATATAATTTTCGGGTCCATAGAGATCGTACCCTCTTGCTTTTCTAGTACCCTCCTGGTCCACAAGTCATCGAGCAAAAAGATAAAAGAGGGAATCTAATCCTTATGAAAAGGAGACCAAAAAAGTGGCCTCTGATGGCGGGCATATCCGGAAATGCAAAGGCGCTAAATTTAAATTTTCCAACACTTGTTAACAATAGCTGTAAAATATTTTTCAGACAAGAAAGTTTTAAGTAAATATTAACGATAATAGTCTAAAAAGTGACACAATTGGTAAAAAACTTCAATATAAATAAAATTTCATGTGACAGTTGGGACAAACAATAACATAACCAAACTAAATTTGACTTCTTAAACAAGGAAAGAGACAGTCTATCCTTGTCTAAAGTGGCCTCTCAAGATGGCACTTCCTGTCTATCAATATGTTTACCCCTTCTACCTTTACATTCCCTCTTTTGTCTTATTGCTCGATGCAACAAGTGCAATTGAAATAGAATCGAATGATAATATTTCATATTCTTAGACCTACTACCGTATAGTATTTATGAAAACTTACCTTCTTCCTTTATTTGGCTTTGTTCCGATGACATAGGTTTATGTTCATCTTGTCCTATTTCAATTTTTATGGGAATTTTCATCAAATTTACGTTATCAAATGTATCATGTGTAGTTTCACTTTTCGGTTCTTCCTTAATTTCAATTTTAAAATTATCCAGAAGGGTATCATTCACGTCATTATCAATTTTATAAGTCTCCTCACCAACTTCTTGTTTTACTTCCATTTTTGTTCTTCCGTTTGATTAAAGTTGGTCTGTCTGTGTATTGATTTCTACTTCAATAATTGGATAATATGTATTGCGAATAATATTATTTATCTATGAATAACACCAAATAACAAAACAAAAGAGCCAGCCACTCCCTCCCTACATTTCTGAATTGACAGAATTGAATCAGATTGACTTTGACAGTTCGGTAAGATCACAGAACACTAATCACAGGTTGTGATTAGTGTTCTGTGGTAAGATTGACGACCAGATGACAGGGCCGTATGCCGTATGACGCTATGCATTTTCTTTTATCATTTCTTATATCGTTTCTGGTACAACAAAAAAATGGATAGTGTCATACAAGCGTATAGTTTCTTATATCAGAAACGATACAAAAATTTGTGTCCCCTGCATTTTCTTTGTTCAAGAAATGCGCCAATTTGTGCGCAAAGCCGCAAAAACGTAAAACTTCTGTCATATTGGCGGCTGGAGGAGAACTCGTAGAGAAATAACAATCTCTATGGGAGAACTTTGGTATTCGCTCCGTGCGTGACCATGGTAGGGATACATTGAAACGATGCCAGCGTGCGTAGCGGCGAAATATGACAAAATGAGAATATTGGACAAAATATTTTTACGCATAAATTTTATCAAAAATGCGTGCAAATACACGTTGCGTATTTAATTGTGCTAATAATAGCAAAAATGGTGATTGTAGTTTTCATAGGTTCCCAAAAATTACATATAAATTAGAAAAAAGAAAAAGATGAATTCGTGCTATTAATATGAAAAAGTAAATATCACATAGTTTCATTTTTATGCAATTGAAATAGAAAAAATTTAAATAATTTACCTTGAATGATATTTCATAAGGCTACAAGCTAACTGCAGATGACTTTAGCTTTTATATCCTAACTTTTACTATTATTGTTTTTAATTATATGCTCTTTTGCGTGAAAAACTTGATTTGCCAGTACTAGATTTTTCCCTTTCTTTTCCGTTTGGAGTTGAAAAGGTATATTATGATGAATTTTGAGAAACCCAGTTTTTAATACTACATTTATTTTGTACATAAACTTTAAAATATAGCTAAAAAACTAATTTATTAATAATTGTCAATTTCGCATGTATTTAACAATGTCAAACATATGTCATAAGTTTAACCTGAAAATTGGGATTCCCAAATTGTCAGATGAAGGCGGTAGGCAATGACGTTATATGGCGGTAGGTGTCGCATCAGTCACGCACGGAGCGAATACAGTTAGAACCATAGATAAATTTACCTAGATTGGTAACAGAGATAGCCAAGGCAAAATCATGTTCGGATTTGGCGCCCATTCGTATGGTGGCGCTGCTAGTCTCTTTCCTGCGCGGAGGGAGTGTGCTGTGGAAAATTCAAAGTTGAGTTTAGACAAATACGGCGCCATATTTGTATTTGTTTTATCTTTTACAATTTAAAATTTTTTATATCAGTGGTGCAAAAAGGTACAATTTTAGACGATTTGTTATTATGGACTCGAACACATTACATGGAATAACAATGTAGAGACGAAGAACTGAACAAAAAAGATGTGTTTCAGATTGCATGGATACTACTGGCAAACAATATAGTTTTTCTTATATGGATATGTTTGATAAATGGGTGAATGTTGTTAAGAGCCCTTATTATAGAATGCTGCTACAGAAACTATTTATAACAATTTTCGTGTATGCGCTAGTCATTTTAAAGAGGACGATATAATGTTGGACATACCGGTATTACGAGAACAGCCCTTCTTTTTTTACCAGCACCAGGTAAGAACTATTATGCCAATACATGTATGTATGTGACATGTGACCTTTTACTTATAAAATTAGTTAATTATAAATTACCCTAAAATTATATATTATAAAATCAGTCTTACTTGCTTACAATTTGAATTACTTTGTAGGTGGTGGTTCAACAACTATCTTAAAAATCATCACCTTAGAGAGGGTTCGACATAAATTTCTACAGGTGTGCGCCTTTCAAAGTTGGATTAGATTAGCAGACCATGACTACACACTATCATATGGAGAGGTCTTTGAGCTTGCCTGTTAAGTGCGAGGAGGGATCTGTGCTTTCTTGTGAGTGAGATTGGTCTTAGAGTACCATATTACCATGGTTTGTCTCATCTATGTACTTTTAATGTTCCATTTTGTAGAACAACCTAAATCTAAATGTATTTAATATGTCTCTCAATAAATATATATAAATATTAGTAGAAAAGAGTTACTGGTAACATAGAGTTTGGAAACTTAACTTTGTAAAATACTTCATGTTTTTATTGTAACTAGGTATACTTTACATAGTTTTTATTTTTTATGTTATTTTTCCATCTTTATAGTGCTGGATCTTAGAATCTTAGAGCTAACTGTTGGGTTCTAAGGTTTAAATATGACTAAAAATATTATCATGTAAATGTATATAAAGTTCTTTCTAGAACTAAATCATTTAATCTTTCTGTTTCCAACTTAGCAGAGTTCTTGAGTTCTGTCTTTCTGTGAGTAGAACGCCAGATAGTAAGAGTTCTCACTGACCGCTGGTAGTGTGTGTTATTAGATTAGGATGTAAGTACTACAAAGAACTCAGAATGTCTGACGGCTGTCTGTTGCTTATTAGGCTTTATGACATTAGAATTAAAAAAAAATTATTTAATTACTGACAAGTTCTTGTCACAACATTTAGAACACTAAATTATACTACATTTTTCTGTCCCTATTTGTGAACAAAATATTGCAACTATCTTGGTTTATTTTTAATTCCAGCTGATTTACAGCTAGATTGAAAATCTGAATTTTCCAATCTTGGTTCATTCATCAATCCAATCATCAGGTTTTTGAACAGGTAAATTTTCTGTCACATCTGGTATTGATTTAGTAGTGGAATTCTCTAATGTGTTATTTGGACTTTCATCTTCATCATTATCATGATTCATTAATATAACAATTCAATAGTAAACTTCGTATATAGTACAGAGCTCCTGGTAAAGCAGTTTTTCATTTAGTGATGTCTAAATATTTGGTTTTCAATGCTAGATTCACCAATGTCCATATAACTCATTGTATCTTTCAACTTAACCATTTCCTTCATGGTTATATGGTGTTGTTCTACTTGAAATATTCCTTTAGAGTGTAGATAATTAATAAATTCTTGTGAAGTAAAGCTAGTTCTCCTTGTCAAATTTTATATATGCCAGCATTCTATATACAAAAAATAGTTATTTAATCTGTGATTGGTTTGAATTGCTTTCCTACCAGATAATGTCTGCATTTTTGTAATACTTCAATGCATTTGCATTTTTTCAATTGCATGTTTTCATTCAGAATCTGTGAGAGTATGTGTGAAAAAAGCAATTCTGCCGTCCTAACTTGAAAGGTCCTATCTGCAAAATTTAGGTTTTGAGAAAATCCAGTTTTTGTTTCTTTTCATTGTATAACGCTTGGTAATTTAACAAACTCTTGATGTTTTATTTTATATATTATGTCCAAGAATAGAATTTAATTTCTAGTCATAATTTTGATTTATTCTTTCCCGATTAGTTGATTTTTGATTATATTGTCACTTAGGACAATATAGCTTAGTATATGAAATACGATTTTTTTGTGTTACTTACTGAAGTTGTCCTAAATAAGACTAAAATATTAATTAACTGAACACTTTTAATTTTATTAATAAGTTTTAACTTAATACACAATTTACATTGTAATATATGTAACATAAATGATATAATATATCGATAAAAACATTAAAGTATTATTAATATTAATCATTTTCTTCCTCAAAAGCACGTTCGTTAACAGGCAAATCTTCCCAAAATTTCATACGATTTTGAGGAATGTGTGCTTTTAATTTGGATATAAGATTATTTTTTCTATCTAAAGTTACACCGCGACATGTATTACGAATTTGGGGCCCTGTTAGCGTGCCCTTAACATACTTCATTATAAAAATATCTTTTAAATCAATAAAATCGTTTTCAAATTCTGTTTTGTAAGAAAAGAAATAATTTCCTCTTTTAAAATGAAGACAAACCATATCTTTTAAGTAAACGCGAGAAATCAGCTTTTGTAACTTATATTTGGAGGTATAGTCAGTGAAGTTAAAAAATTGTGGAAGTTGCATTTTTATTAAATTTACTTTTGACGAATTGGCTTGTTTTACCGTTTCGCAAAAATCGTCAAAATCGTATACTTTTTTTTTTCCTTTTAAGAGCAAGCTCAACTTGGTGGTGAAATGAATCTGCGGCCATAAAAGTATGACCTGGCTCAAAAAATTTGATTATTATGTCTTCTACAGCAACTTCTGAACTGTTAACCAAATAAATAAAGAAACTAAAAAGGGACCAATTTTTATTTTGGCTCGAGCAATTATCAAGCCAAACTGTTATATGTGTATTGTCCCTATTTGCCAGAAAAAAAGCGTAGAACGCAGAAATAATGTCATCTTTGGATCTGCCAGCAATTCCCTCATGCCACAATACGGCCAAAGGGTAGGTATTGGACTTCCTTCCAAGCGAGACAAAACTCTCATTATATGCTACTATACGTGGCGTAAAAATAATTTCCTTGAACGTTTCCAAACGAGGCAGCATGATAACCTAAAAATTGAGGAAACTGTATTTAAAAATTCTATATTATATGTACTTAAACTTATTACCTTTTGCAAATCACCAGCTACAATAATCTCATCATCTCGTTTTATTTTCTCTGCATCTTTCTGGTAATTTTTTCTGGCGTTTAACGCTTTTATCTTATGAATTTTCCATTTTTTGCACAAATCACATTTAGCAAGATTTTCTTCATCAGCTTCATGAGACGTGGCTTTTTTGTGTATTTCAAATGCTTCGCAATCCCAGCACTCTTCATTTCCTAGATTGGCAAAGGATATATTTTGGTCATTAGACACAATTTTTCTGTATAATTCGTAAGAAAAATCTGTATTTGGATATTTTAATCTAAAATCTTTGTACATGAGTGTAATGTTTACATCACTGGGAAGGTATTTTCTATAAGGAGCGTGCTCTCTTCTGTAATGCGATATCGTTGGGTTGAATGAATTAATATGTTCAATAATTGTGTTTCTGTCCACTTTGCGTGCCTGTGAGCGGTTTCTCCCATCTTTTTTAGGTACTATCAATTTCAAATCTGTT